TTTTGAAGGTGGTGTCAAATTACTAAAAATAAAAGCAATTGGCATAAAAAGAAATAAAAACAATTGGGTATGGGACTTACTGAATATCTTTACTCATGTACATACATGACTGAAACGACGACGCTGCAAATAAAGGACAGACACTTAAAACGCTTTTAAGTGTCTGTGCTTTCTGTTTTTGCCTCATTTTTAATTGTTTGATGTGACATGGAGAGGGGTCATTGTTTCATGGAGGCTTTCTTGAAGCAGGATATGTTCATGATGGAACTTATCTTGCCACTGCACCCAGTGATATAAAAACAGAAAAAAAAGAAGAAAAAAAAAAGAGAGAATTAGATGAAGTTGTGTATAAAAATTAAAGTAAATTCCAAAATATTACAGACTGTAACGTTGTTCGATGAAAAGGCGTTCGAGGAAACGGCTTCTGTGAAACGGCGTTCGAGGAAACGGCGTTCAATGAAACGGTGTTCGATGAAACGGCTTCGATGAAACGGCTTTGATAAAACGGCAATCAATGAAACGGCGTTCGATGAAATGTCCGGACACACTTATAGCGGTACGCGTGCATTACGTGGCACTTTGTGCCTGAACGCGGCATCGGCGCTTTTTACTATTTCTGCCCTGCAACATGTATTGTCTAGCACTGAGCTCTGGCACTTAGGTTGGATAGTTGCATTGACAGTTTTCAAAACATAATTTATTTCTAAAAAAAACAAAATTAGAAAGACCGGCAATAGTTTGTCTGTGCTGTGTTGCAGTATACCTAAAATGTGTTTGCAAAGACAAATTACAAACACGTATCATGTTAAAAAAATCGGCTACATTTGATTTATTTTTTTTTATTTTTAATGCCTCAAAAATACTTTAAAGTGGCAGCACGTGCTATAGCACCGATTTAAGCAACGTTGAACTATAACATCAGACGCTTCGATAGCCGCACTCGATCAAGAATGCTCACAGAAAGGTTACAGCTTATATATTGTTGTAGGGTGCGGTTATCTAAGAGCTAAAGACGATCCACTAAAACTTTTTAGTATCAACACACACCACTGCTTTCTTCTCACCTCATGTGGTTGCTGGGATGCGTAAATATAAATGTCACCTACATTCGTTGGCCATCATATAGTGTGAGTTACGCACATAATATTTGTGCTCGCTGCTAGAAAACAGAGACCTTCTAGAAGATGCCCGCGCCTGGTAGATCATTTTCTTTTCCATCAATCTTAATTTGGGGCAGTTTTGAGCGTGATAAGCCATTTTTTTTGAAGATGGAATGTTTTGTAAAGATGGAAGTCATTCTTACATATTCAAGTCACCACTTCTCGCGCATGTCTTTTGAGCTCCTTGATCAACCGAAAATATCTATGAAACGTTCCTTCAACGGGTGCGGGGATGCATCGCAGCTCTCAAGTATGCGTTTATTTTGCCACAGGCTAAACCAAAGACCTTCGACAGCTGAAATTCGGTGACTGCGCGGGCGCAGCCTTGCAGCTTCGTAAAACCTACACCCGAGGGGCTAGGCTTGGTGAGCGCTAAAAAATGGGGCAGATTACGCGATAGGAGCTGAAGCTACCTGTAAGTCACGAGGTCGCTGCTGCCGCACCCATCGCCCGTCGCTCAGAATGGGGATTTTCTCGGCTTATCCTCTCAGAAGAAGCCGGCGCAATAGGGGACCTTTCCCTTCGCCTCGCCGTGCTACAATACAAGAAGAAAGAGGGCGAGGAGGACTTTCCGCCAGGCGGAAGAATATTTCTGCTGGTCCCCCTTTAAATTTTCTAATGGCTTCAACAACCCCCCCCCCCCCATGTGCTCTTACCCCGTTGCCGCCTCGAGGGCTAACAAGCAACCCAGATTTCGAGACGGTGTGCTTGAATCCGAGGGTGCTGGAGGTCGCCTACCTCATGATTAGGGTGTGTACTTTCCGGTGTTTATTTGTGAGAAAAATCGGCGGATGTTTTTCGGTGTTTATTTATTTTCGAAACACCGGTGTATTTCGGTGGAACGTCTCACGACGAGGCTAAAATCGGTGATTATCGGTGGAAAAAAATGCGATTGATCACACACAGAGAGTTCTAATTTTATTAACATATTTCATACACTTCTCGAGAAAGCATATATTTCTCACACTTGGTTATTATAGTGGATGCAAGCATACTTCGAGAGGTTTGCATTCATCATGGCAGCACGTTCCTTGCGGTTCACAACCCGCAATTTTGAAAACACTCGCTCCACATTTTCGCTGGACACAGGAAATCCCAAAATGTCCAGCCAGGCTTGGGTCAGTAGACTCCAGTCAGGTAAATGAAGTTTCCAAAATAACACTGGATCAACGGTGCTAGTCACAGCATACTGGCGGTAACAAAGAAACTCTGATTCTAGGTCACTCAGCTAGCTCTCGTCTCGGAGGACCAGCCGATAGATACTTTCATAAGGCACAAATCCCTCTGGCAGCTCCACGTTTATGCACAGATTAACAATTGGCACGCGGAACCAGAACGACGATTCATCCATGAAATCTGTAGCTTAGTCATCCTGAGCTTTCCGCTTACTTCCCATCCTGGTGGCCTTCTATTCCGCGTGACGACGAAAGGAAGCAAGTCTCGCGTTGAGAGAACCCGCAGACGCGGGACGGACGCGCCTTCTCAAACACGTCTGCAAATTTTTTTACAGAACGGTTCTTTTATATACAGCGAAAAACTCCCCCGCCAACAAAACCCTTTTTCCGTTTCCCCAGAAGCCCATAGAGACTAAACAGATAACAAGGAACGCATCTCAGTTCTGAAAGTTCAGTAGCCCTGTACGACACGGACGTTGGCATTCTCTTCCAGGAACCACAGCAACCTCTGAATACATGGCTTGCACCGACATTACTTGGCCAGACACAATGGGGAAAAGGCACGTGAGAGCGTATACCTCCGCTGCGTTAATTTTTCCACAAAAGGGGGCCATGGGCGACACAATGGGGGAAAGGCGTGTGAGAGCTTAGCTTTCACTGCGTTAACTGGACGCTTTTCACCCCCAGAAAGGAGGGTGGACTGACGCCACGTGCAAGCCATGTATAGACACTGAAAGAATGCAGGATCCACGAGATAACACGTTTGACGAACTTCTACGGGGAAAGGGTTTCGCTAGGTCGGAAAAGTGCAACGACCGGTGTTTTTCGGTTTTAACCGGGGCGAAAATATCCAACCACCGGTGTTTTTCGGTTTTAACCGATTTTGTATTTTCGTCACCGACGGATGTTTATTGGTGTTTTTCGGTTAAAACCGGAAAATACACACCCTACTCATGATGCGTTACTACCGCCAGGAGGGAATGGGCATAACAGCACACAAGTGAGTTCAACGCCTTAATTTGCTGTTCGGCGAACTTGCAAACGGGCGCCAGCAGTAAAACGTTTGACAGCTACTTTACTTTCTGTTTCAGTGAGCATTACGCACATTACTTTTCAATGTGATGTCGCATTAGTGGTTGCATTGCATGTTTTACTTGCGTTTCATGCCATGTTTCTTTGTGAAGTTGTGGGTCATCATAAAGTGAAATGTTCAAAACCTCGATTGCTGCATGAGTATCTCTTGCTTCATAACAAGTTTGTGAGACCTGGGGCCATATGTTGCGCTTTTTGGACTCCCACGGCGGCTAGGGAGAAGGAAGTGACGTCAACAACGCAGCAAACGCGGATTGGATGTTGATTGGTGAGACTCACTGATGACAAATATTCGCAAAAAAAAAAAAAAAAAAGCTTTGTTTTTGTTTGCAGAAGTTCGTCATCAGCTTCCAGATAAAGTAGTGCATTGAGACTCTGTGAACGCTAGATGAAAACAAACGAGCTAATTTCCCTTGGCTTCATTGAAGTTCCTCGCTGAACTATCCGAACGTAATTAACAGCGTGCGAGCGATTATGATAAAAGCAATGCCCTTTCTCTTTGGCGTGACCGTGTTCGAGCTAAAATATGCGGCACGTCTTGCCACTCTGACTTTCAGCGTGGGAACTGCGGCTTTGACGCGGATTAACGACTTCTGGCAGCTGAACGGCGCTAAGGAGCTATGACGGAGGCCAACGATGGCTCATTAGAATCGGTAGTCGCCTTCTCAGATTAGCAGGTGAAGTTATGTCAATACAAAGTGGAAACAAGAACAACTCACCTGCAAATCTACCATACTTACGACACGCAGGCAGAAACAGAATAGCAGACAGAGACGCATTCGCATCGCCGTCTGCTATTTATTTCACAGCAAAAGCGTCTGCTGCAGCACGGTGGCTGCAGCTTTTCACCATTTGTTTGGTTTGCCTCCCGAAAGAATTCATGCAGATGCTGTACTTTTATAAAACCATATTTCAAACGACAGATCCTGACACTTTGCAAGCAACGGAAAAAAGGCGTGCAAATCCGAACAGCCATACCAAAACTGCCTTTTCCCACCATAAATGGCGCCACAAGGGTTATTTTGAAGCGCACCCTGGGCGTCCAGAACGCTGTCAATTGCCCTTACGCTTGTTGCAAAAGATACGCCTGTTAGGTTTGTAGTGTGAACATAGCATTATGCACCTTAATCTAGACATAAGACATTTTTTACCAGACAAGTACAAAAAAAGATTTCCCTTGATTAGTCATTGCCAGTCATATAACCGGCTGGTCAATATTCACATGCTTTGAACTCACATTTTTTTATAAAGCCAGTTTTTTTTAAACAAGAACTTATGCTTATGCTGGCATCACATAAAGTGTCCTTTCCCCACGTTATGACTTATAGCTGCAACTGTGGTCCCCCGTGTTGTAATTGAGTTTATGAATCGCCACCAGGGTGTCCCTTTTCCTTTAATCGCCCTTGTGCGCGTGAATAAAGAAGAAGTGTAGCAGCGTTCGTCGGGGCTGGACGTGTCCTTTTTCCTTCGGCGTGTCCGCTTGGCCGCGGGCCGCCGCTGCCCTCCACGCCATCGTCGTCGTACCGTAAGCCTTCCTGCGCATATATCCTAATGCAGTATAGCTCCTCAAACACTACATTCTGGCGACGAGGACAACACATCCCATCCTCGTCGCCACTCCTTCCAGGAACATCCATCGGAAGAGCTCTGCCACACTCAATCCAGTTAGGGATAAAACCTGTCCCAACGAAGTAAAAACTGAACAGTCCTTGTACCTTGATGGCATGGTTCCTGCACGAACTGATGCATACTTGTTTGCCGGGAACCGACACAGGAACATATCAATGGCTGCCACCATCCCTGTATAAGCCGGGTCCGTGCCCCATGCCGCATACGCCGTGCTGGCACTTCCGAAGTCCGCTTTCGACAATTCGAAAGGAGGTGATGCAATCAATTGAGCCAACTTAGCGTGGATGCTCACACGGTAGAGGGCAGTGCCTCGGTCTCTGACTGACAATGCCCTGTATAGAAAGAGCAGGAAGCCGAACAATCCCGGCTCTGAGGTGAGAGTTCCGTTGTAAGGAACTGCTGGAGGGGGTGCCCGCTCTGAAAAGACAATCGTCACAAGATCCCAAGGTGTGATCTCATCGCCCACGTCCCCTATCACGACGCCAAACGACGTCCATTTTTCGGTCAGCTTTCCAACCAAGCTCTTGCCGAAGTGATGGAGAAACAAAACAGCATGTTCTACTCTAGCTCTTGACAGAGCAATTCCATCCGTGAGCGACGCCTGCAACTGGGGTACAGTCAGCGAGTTCTTGGGGAGAGTTATGGTGGGTTTGCTGTGGTCATTTTTGATGAAAAACTCCGAGGGGTATACCCTCTTGAGAGCAGTGATGGGCGTCACCAACTCTACTTTCCGTCCTGGTTGGTTCTGTAATATACGGAAGAGTGTTGGTCGCTCGTTCGGCATGGTATCCTTGACTTAGTTAACGACTAGAAAATAAGGCTCTAACCAGTAGAGTTTGAGCAAGCCCCACCAAAAGAACGTTACTTCATTACTTTGGTGGACTACCACAGCAAGTGGCCGGAAGTGGCTTCGTTCTACAACGTCACGACAGCGTCAGTCGTTGACTTTTTGAAATCGATTTTTTCTCGAGAGGGCCTGCCTCTCGAGATAACCACAGATAACGGTCCACAATTCACATCCCATGAGTTCAACCAGTTCCTACAGACAAATGGCATAAAACACGTAAAATCTTCCCTTTATCACCCTCAAGGTAATGGGCAAGTTGAAAGATTCAATAGAGTCCTAAAGTCCGTCATCCAGTTGGCAATGGTGCAACGCCGTCCGCTTCGAGAGGCCATCACTGAATACCTTGGAGTTTATCGAAGCACTCGGCATGCGGCCACAGGTGAAACCCCGGCGTTTCTGCTGCATGCAAGAAATCATCGGACTCGCCTACACATCCAAGGACGAGCAACTCCGGATCCACCTCTACCTCGGCACATTGTCCAGCGCGACCTGCCGGAAAGGGTACAGGCGTACCAAGCAAAGATGAAAAAGTACTCGGACTCAAGGCGAGCAGTAAAAGTGCCATCGTTTAAAACAGGACAGTATGTAAAGGTCCATAAGCCAAGACACCATGGTAAATTTCAGCACAAGTATTCTGAACCACAGATGATTTCTGCGAAAATTGGTCCTTCTACATACAGTGCAGTCCACTTATAACGATATTGAGAAAACCGCAAAATCCAATCGTTATAGCCGATTATCGTTATATCTGGACCGACAAAAAAAAAACACAAAGAGAAGTTACTTACGGGCGATGAGTGAATCAGGTCGTACAACGCGAGCCGAGGCAAAGAAAACCGAAGGCTTTATTAAAAGGTACGAAAATGACTATAAAATAATTTAAGCATGCTTAAAAAAGTCGGAAATTTGCGCTTGCTTGAGCTGAAGTTTGACAATTGCCGTGTGCATTGCTTCCAGTTGTTGCGCGTACGCTGGCGGCAGTCCTTTTGCGTGCACAAAACCGACCAGCGACTGGATGGAGAGCAGGGCATTTTGTGAAGACATTGGAGGCGGGGTGTTCTCGTCGCCGCCGTCGTCGTCACTACTTTCGCAGTCGCTCGATGTGATTTTTCGTCGCGATTGCTGTTCCTCGGCAATGGCCTCATCAGTAGACTCCTCGCATGAAGCGGCAGCGTTGTCCGCGTTCAAAAAGTCTCCCAAGAGAGCTCCGCCGATGTTCTCCTCGGAAGCTGCTATGTGGTCCCAAAGTTCACCCACATCGGCAGGTTCGATGAGCAAGTCATTTGTCTCTTCCGAGACCGTGGCGTTGTGGCGCACGAAGCCTGCCTTTTTAAAACAGTTCTTGAGTGTAACCTGCTTCACCTCATACCACGCACCATGCACGAACCGCACCGCTTCTAACAAGCTCACCTTCAGGTCAGGAGGTCCGCCGGCGTATTGAGACAATCCTGAGCAGTCTAGTTTCATGATGAGCCATTCCAGCATGCGACGTCTGTAGAGGGCCTTGAAATTGGCGATTACGCCGGCATCCATGGGCTGCAGACCTGCCGTGGTGTTCGGAGGCAGAAACATTACCTCAACGGACGTTAGCTTCGGGCTGACGTTGTGTGCGCTGCAGTTGTCGAGGAGCAGCACCACTTTCCTCTTCTGCTTCTCCATAGCGCCGTCAAACTCGAGGAGCCATTCCTCAAAGAGATCTCGCGTCATCCACGCTTTCTTGTTATTTCGATAGCGGACTGGAATGCATTGATTCCTAAAGCAGTGAGGCCTTTTCGATTTCCCGATCACAAAGGGCTTGAGACGCTCGGTACCGTCCATGTTTGCGCACACAAACACCGTCACCCGGACCTTGCTATGTTTGCCACCAACGCACGGGTCACCTTTCAGCGCGTGCGTCTTTGTAGGCAGCATCTCATAAAAGAGTGCTGTTTCATCGCCGTTGAAAATGTCACTTTCTTGGAAGCGCTCCAACAGCTCGGGTAATTTCGTCGCCAGCCATTCGTCTTTCGCATTTACGTCCAGCGAGGCAGCCTCCCCGACGACGTTTTTATAAACGATGCCGTGGCGATCCTTGAACCGCTGAATCCATCCTCCGCCGGGTTCGAAGTTTTCCCGTCCCAGAAGGGAAGCAAATTTCTTCGCCTTTGCGGCAAGAATAGGTCCACTTATGGGCACGTTCCGGTTGCGAGTGGTCAAGAACCACTGGTACAGGGAGTCTTCAACGTCGCCGTACAAAGGATCCCTAACCCGCTTTCGCTGGTCGTCGTGACCGCTGGTGCCAGCCTTCTTCAAGACATCTCCAGCCTTGATGATTGTAGAAATCGTTGATTGAGACAGCTCGTATCTTTTTGCGAGGCTACCAACCTTGAATCCTTGTCGGAAATCCCGGTGAATTCGCTGCTTCACCTCCAGAGATATCGCTTTGCGCTTAGTCGGCGCCATTTTTACCTCACGAACGTACAAACGTGCGGAAACGGGGGAAAACTAGGAAGCGTTGCGCGGCGGCGGCCAAGCAAGCTCTTTCTCTCCTCCCTTCAGCGATTGCGATGACGATAGCACTTAGTTCCGAAGGATGAGGCTGAACTTTTTAAATCGGGCGGCGCCTCGCGTCACCTAGCGGATCTTTCCACGCCGACCGGTTTTTGATATTTTTACTAGTTTTCATGTCGTTCGCTTCAAGTATTTTAATTTTTCTCAAATTTCCAGGCAAATTTTTCGTGATAAGCACCTTCCGGGCGGCCAGAATTCTATCGTTGTATCCGATATGTTGCCGATAATTCTATCATTATATATGGTTTATTTTTACATATAGGCGATGGGAGAATTGACAAATCTAAAAAATTTGATCGCTATAAGCGATATATCGTTATATCTGGTATCGTTATAAGTGGATTACACTGTATACACTTGATGATGGTACAACATGGAATTCCGACAAATTTACTCGTACACCTCTCAAACCTACGTACTCGCACAGATCACACAGATTATCCTGGGCGGCTGATGAAGCTTTGTTTCCTTGTGCACCTCTTCAGCCCATCCCTGCCGTTCCTCCCGTCAGCGTTTCACGAATTCCTCCACCTCCTGGTGTCTTCGGCACTGAACCACCCTCCATGATTGGTCGTGAAGCGTCCGCCAGTGCTCCTCCTCCGCCTGGTCTACACTCTGTAGAATCAGAGCGAAGTTCCCCTAGACCAAGCCATCTGGACCAGTCCTCCCCCGCAAAGTCGTCACCGGAAGTGAGGGGAACTACCGAGTACAGCGAAGCATCAACCTCTGCCAGATCTGCTTCACCAACTCCGGATCATGACAATATCGAACAGGAGCAACCTTCTTTCATTCCTCTTGGTGGGCTGATGAATGACTATCCAGCTTCACGTCCCCCAGCCCGACCGCAGCGACCCAAGCAACGACCAGCTTGGCTCGACGACTATGTCTGCGATTATGTGTGTGCTGAATGAATTTTTGTGCCCTGTGTGCTCATGATGAAACGTTGCGGGATAGGATGTGTTGTAAATAGTTTTGGTTCCCAGATTTATTTCGTTCTTCATGTTCTCTCTTTTTTTTATTTTACGGAAGGAAGAAAATGATATGTTGTAAATACCTTTCGTAGCCTGATAGATTTCGTTTCTTTTTGCTCTCCTTTTGCTTTATTTTATGAAGGGAGAAATGTTGTAATTGAGTTTATGAATCGCCACCAGGGTGTCCCTTTTCCTTTAATCGCCCTTGTGCGCGTGAATAAAGAAGAAGTGTAGCAGCGTTCGTCGGGGCTGGACGTGTCCTTTTTCCTTCGGCGTGTCCGCTTGGCCGCGGGCCGCCGCTGCCCTCCACGCCATCGTCGTCGTACCGTAAGCCTTCCTGCGCATATATCCTAATGCAGTATAGCCCCTCAAACACTACACCCCGCACTTATATGAAGTAACTATCGAAGCATCCGTGAGGTATACCTTCCCCGAGTAAATATGCAGCCGGGTGCTTAGCATTGAAATCGCAGCTTGCACTTACATCACGAAAGTGACATGAGTAGTGTGTATGTGATCAAAGCTTTACTGTGCCCTGAACATGATGACTCGTCCACTCTTGGGGGCAATAATTACTCTCATTGAACTTCTGCAATTCAAGCTATTGTAACATCTGCTTTTTTTTTTCTCCGATTCTGGCTGTTATAAGATTGTGCTTTGCCACAAAGATATGCAGTCATTCAATCGAGTCAGCATGAACAGTGCTGCCGCACATTTTAGGGTTTGTGACATGCATATTGTTGTGCATGTTAGTCTTTGATCATCTGGTCTGTTGGAATTGACATTTCCTAACAGTTCTTTGTGATGGTTTATGGCCCATTTCTACACGATTCAGAACTACAACAGAAAAATGGTTGCACTTGTGCCCCATAACCGCTGCTACTTCCTTGTACATGGAGTATACACTACTGCGGTTCAATTAGCAACATAATATGATGTTCACACATGTCACTTGAATTTGTGGGGAGAATAATTGACACAATTAGAACTTGCTCTGCTCCTCGGGTTCTTTTAGATAGGTTGCTGCTCAAGGCACGGGGGCACGTTGCAGGAATTTCTTTTTTGTACCCGCTGGTAGAGCCCAGAATCTGCAGTTTTAAAAAATTGTGGTATTGCGTCTTACAGAAAATTATTGTGGTTATTGTTTCAGGCGCTACCACTATGCCGCCTACGGGCAGTGCGTCCTGTGGCGGGGCCTTGGCCAGCACAACAGGCGACCACTGCCATCCTGCGTGGTGAAGGCCATCAGGGGCCGGTTTCTCGACAGTTCGTATTCTGGCTTTCGGCAGTCACTGAAAGCCACTCTGGGGGCTCAAACATATGAGGGTAAGTCAAAAATTATCTGCAATGTGGCTATAACTTTTCGAACATTGTTTTTACTGGCTTCTGTCTTCGTTTATTTTATTGTTATGCTGTTGTGGTCCTGCTATGAAAGTTTGACCATAATTCTTCATTTGTTTTCCTTTTGTTGCAAATAGATCATGGCCCCTCTTTTGGAAGTTTGCACCAAAGAGGAAAAACGAGCAGGGATCTGGTTTTTGTGGTCGGAAGGTGTAGACACTCCGTTGTGCGAGACACTGTTCCTGTATTATGCCGAAAGTCTTTGATGAAGTTTGACCCCTGGTACACCTTCTGACCACAAAAATCGGATCGCTGCTCGTTGTTGTGGTGAAGTTTGCACCAAAGAGGAACAAGGTGCAGTGGTCCGGTTTTTGTGGTGGGAAAGTGTATCAGGGGCCAAACTCTATGAAAGACTTTCGGCACAGTACGGGAACAGAGTCTCGCACAACAAAGTGTCTATGAATCGAGTGTCCACACCTTCCGACCACAGAAACCGGAGCCCTGCTCGTTTTTCCTCTTTGGTGCAAACTTCCAAGGGAGGGGCCAGGATGTATCTGCAACAAAAGGAAAACAAATGAAGGAATTAGGATCAAGCTTTCATAGCACAACAGCGTAACAATCAAATAAACGGAGACAGAAGTCAGTAAAAGTGATGTAAGAAAAGTTATAGCCACATTGCGGATATTTTTTACTTGCCGTTGTATTTTGACATATTGTCTTTACGTTCAAAGTTTTTTTTAAATGTGATTAGCATTCTTTGGCTACTTCACCCACTTTGCATCTGACTATCTATCTATCTAACCTCTTACGCCACTGTGCAATGCTGTCAAAGCTGCTGGCACAAGCCAGTGATGTAATTGCTGCGCCAATTGCGTCAAACTGCGCCAAGAGGCTAACCCTGCTACATCCTGCTACATTGTGCCAAAATATGGATAATCTGCGCCAAGCCTGCGCCAAAAAGACAACTTCGGTCGCCTTTCAAAACTGAAACTAAACTGAGTACCGTAATCGAGCATGCGTGTGCTATGTGGTGCAAGCCGTCGCTTTTCTCGTTTTCTTCCTCAAGTTGGATTATCCTATACCAACCCGCTCGTTCTGTCCTTACCCTGCATCAATTGTCCATCCGGTCTTGCATGGTTTTCCTACCGTTTCGCGTATCGCGCTCTGGTCGTCTCGTGGGTCTCGTCTCGCGTCCTTTTTTTCTTTTTTATATTTTCAGCAGTAGACGCGGGTGTCTGCGGACGCTCCGACGCTAGCGTGCCGGGTACCAGCCATGCAGTCATGCTGTGAAACAAAACCACGTTTTTGCGCTGCGGGAGTTACTTTCTGAGCTAAAGCACTCTCTCCTGAAAGTAACGACCGTGGGAAAAATGTATTTGGTCCCTTCCATTCACCGTGGTCGCGCGACACCGGGTGTTGCCTTCCCCGCGTCGCTGCAGATTTGGCGCTTTGTAAAATGAAGCTAAGTATAGCCGCATGTTCATCAACATTCCTGTTCTTCTTTAAATCATACTTTACTACAGAAATCCCTCTTTAACTGAAAGACTGCTGTGTCGAAGTATTTATTACCTAGGTTTCTCTCGGTAGGCTTTGTTCCGAGAAGGACCACGGTGCGTGAAAAATCTGCCGTGAAAGAAAGTTGAAGAGAAGTGAGCTAAAGCAAAGAAGGGCGATGCCTCCACGCTGAACCCGCACAGCCCGCTTGTTTGTCTCGAGTTCAGTCATTGCATAAAGCGCTCCGAGAACTTTTTGACCCTGACTTGCGATGTGTTGCATCGATGTGCTCGGGTTTTGTGTGTGTGTGTGTGTATTTAGCTTGTACTTTGTTTGCCGGCGTGGCAAGTACGCGCCGCTGTACCTTTTTGTCATATTCTCGACAGTTACATTTTGCATACAATTTTGGGAATCAGTTGGCCACGGAGCGGAGTAGCATGGTTTCGGTTTCGATCGAACATCCGTTGTCTCCGCTTGCACGACGAGGCACTTGCAACTGCAAGCCTGCCGAAGTTTCCCTCACGTGCATGCAAGCTTGATTGCATGACAGAGGCACCAGCCGGGACGCTTGCTATCCATTGTTTTACTTTTGCTTACTTTTGATGAAAATCTGGCCCGTCGGGAACCAGCAAAACGGTGGCAAGTGGTTTTTTCGGAATTGCTCTGCAATGCCTACAGCACTGTACACTTTGGGATGTCTCAGCAGTAAAAACACAAACCACGAGTTCAGTCGCAACACGTCACAACAGGACGCAACACAACAGAAAGGGCCCTTTGTTTGTACAGCACTTTAAATTAATATTTTTTTTTTAAGAATATTTGCTCCAAAAGTTACTTTTGCTGCTCCAAAGGACTGCTTTGGCTGCTCCAAAAGGTGCTCCAAAATGGCTTAGTCCAATCACATCACTGACAAGCATGTTGCTTTGCCTGGCGCTTCATTTGCGCATATGCTCGTGCTGATGAGACGCTAGAAGAAGCTGTGCTCTCGTGCCTGTGGCTTTGACAGTAACTTATGGTCAGCCAAGAAAGACAGTTTTGGTGGTGCCAATGGGTACTTGTGAGAGCTGGCTGTTTGCACATGCTCAAAAGCAGCACA